AGTACTATACTAAGATTTTAGCAACGATAATCATAATATCTGAAGTTAAAAAATTAGTGACTTTCCCATCAGTTTGAATTTTTTGATATAGAACAACCCAAAATTTTATGAACGCAACTCCGACACAGTTTTTGTTTTAGAACCTCGTAGCTTAGTCGGGCTTTATGCTAGTCGATAAACCATCAGATCAATTTTTTTCATATATCAGATAGCATATTTTTGGCTGATTAGGTTTAATTGAGATTTTAAAAAATGTGCACAAATTGTTGCATATTCTACAGATTACACTAATTGAAAGAAGTAGTGCGGAGGTCGATTTCGACACGAAATCACGACACACTCGACATAAATCGCGTACTTGGAAGCCATGCTCTCAAAAAAGTCCGAGATAGAGTATTTGAAATGAAAGATAACTTGTACACTATCACAAAGTAAAAAAGCTTGTTTGTTGCAAACTTGAAAGGTTAACAATTGATTGATACAGTCTGATTTGTGAAAACACAACCTAAGGCAAATTATTTTAGCTAAACGCGCTGATGGCTTTCAGGTTCGTGGGAGATCCCTTCAGTGATCTTCCGGTATAGGTGATCCCTAATTATCCCTACCCGGGTTGACCTCCATACACCGAAAATGCTTATCATACAATTCCATACATCAAGTGTGTGGGAAAATGCTTGTCATACAATTTTCATACAATTTCTAAAAATGGTTGAAAACTGGTATAAACTCATTTCTGTGGCTGTTTGATTCTAATAAAACAATCTGGTGATAAAAAACTGAGGTTTTCGTTTTTTGAAAAAAATGCTTATCATACAATTCCCATATATGGAAATTGTATGACTGGCATTTTTTTGGTGGCGACACAAAAAATTTTTCAAGTAATTTTGAAAATTTAGCCCAAAAAATTTTTTGTTTTTTTTTTCAACAGCAAATCGATTTTCGTACGCAAACAAACATTTTTCGAAAAAAAAAATTTGCAGGCAAAATTTAATATTTTGTGTGCATAACGTAGTCCTGGATACGAAAAAATTGGCTTTTATTTTCTTTTCACTTAATTTTTTTTTTCAAAAACGCTGAAAATTTCTCTTACTTTTGTATGGGGTGTTAATGTACGCCTTGATCAATGTCTGATAATTTGAAAATTCAAAAATTTAATATAATCATCATTAAAATTGTATGGAATTGTATAAAATTGTTTGACAAGAAGTTTCTCATATATGGAAATTGTATGATAAGAAGTTTTGGTCAACCCGGGTATGTATAACTAATAACACCTGTGTGTAACTAATAACCCTTGTGTATAACTAGCAATCCCTTTAAGTAACTAATGATCCCTATGTATATTTAATCATAACTATGTGAAAACATTTAAGGACAGAAATGGTTGAACTAAAGGCGTTTTCCGACACAAGTGTCGATTAAATGCACCAAAAACAGTTTGGGATCAGTGTCAACAAGAAGTTCTCAAAACCAATCCTTAATAATTGTGCTGCAACGAAGCAAAATTGGATTAACAGTAGCTTGACATTACCTGAGTGGGGCCAAATGTGGAAAAAGAAAATAGAAATGTTTTCTTAATTCGTTTCACAATATTGATATGGACATCTAATTTATTTCATACCCACGACTTTATCGTTTTTGGATTTTTTTCCGCTTTTTTGACAGCGGTAGTGATCTTCAAAAAAGTCGCTGTTGAAGACGAAGAATGACGAATCATTTTTTATCGATCTCAGCAATTTCGTTGGCGCAAGTTCTAACTAGATCAAGAACTTCATAGTTGCTGACGGTACTCAACAGGTGTCTCAACGATGGTCTCGGTTGAGTATCAACCAGAAGAAAGCTACCTTCTGACCAGTACGATGTACCCTGCCAGAAGGTGTTGTTTTGTTTTGAATTCTTCTGATCGAAGTCGACTATTTTATCTGTCTCTTGGAAGAATTGTAACCAAGCATTAACCAATCATCATCATCATCATTTCATCATCATCATCATCATCATCATCATCATCATCATCATCATCATCATCATTATTATTATTATTATTATTATCATCCTAATTTTTATCGGTGATATCATCAGTAAACATAGAATCATTGAAAACTTTACAATGGCCATGTGGCCATTTGGAAAATCCTTTGCTGAGGATGTATCTTTTGCCAACTTAGTCTGACAATGCAACTTTTTGACGAAACAGCGCTCAGAATGCACCTCCCGGAGATGATGCGAGTAAATTAGGCCGTAAAATTTAAATATTCAGCGTGATGTAAATTTTGATGTAAATTTAAATAGTCAGAAGTGGCTGCGTCGTCGTAGAGATGCCCATGGCTGAATGCTTTTGAATGAAAAAAGGTTTATCTTAATGAGAGATTCTTTTGTTTCTTTCATATGAATGAAAACTAACACCTGTTGAAAATGTAAACACAAAACCTTTTCAAACGATCTACTCCCTATCCCCGAAAAAAAAACGTTAGCCCCTCCTTCCACCCACAGATACCCAACAAACAGAATCTCAGAAATAAAAACAACATTTTTGTTAAGTAAATGAAACAAATGCTCCCCCATTTTCCATTAAAAAAACTGTTTTTGGTCTTTTGTTTTTGGCTAAAAAAAGTTTGTCAATTCAAAAAACTTTGATAATTTTTGTGCCGGTAGAAAAAAAGTTCAAACAAGATAATGTTACAATTTATGGATACGAGTTCTGTACTTATATCACCCGGAAACTCTCAATGTCTGTATATTGAAACTGAAAATTTTAAATTTAATGATTGCAAATTTAATGATTGAAAGTGGTCGGTTGTATAAATGCTTAAAATGGTTAATTACTGTCCAAATTTTAAGTTTTGTTACAGTTTTTTGTAAAGTTTCTATGTATTTGGCAGTTTTTTTCATACATTAGTCTGTCAGTAACTGAGTTTAGGAAATCAAAAGTCAAAGTTAGCTGCAAAATATATTCGAGAAATTTATACGTCCTTTTTTTGTTAGTTTTAATATACACGCGTCTCACCTCAATGTGTTGCGCCTTCTTTCGTCCGCCTCTCATAGAATCTTAGTCGTCATTTTTTTGTTCCGACTTTCGATACGAAAGTAACGGAATATTTGTGCTCGGGTGGGTTTTTTTTCTTCAGACAAATTTCGACTTTTTAACTAGCCATTTTTGACGGAATTTTTTAATATCATTCGAAAGGTATTGTTGTCCTGAGCTCAAATTTGAAAAGATATTTCACCTGTGATCATTTTTCGTAAAGTTATGGGGGTTTAGAGATTGCCATTTTGGCCAATTTGGGACAATTAACGCGCGATATAATTCGCGCTATTAACGCGTGAGCGGAGATTTAATCCGTCTTAGAATCGTTCCAAATTGGTCGAACGAAGCTTATTTGCCATAATTGATTTGTTACAAGTAGCGAAATCTATCCTTTTGTACTTTATATGGCGTGTGGGGGGATGATTTTTATTTAAAAAATTTCAAATTTCAAATGACTGCTTTTTTTTACTTTTAATTTTTTAATGATATTACTGCTCCATAAACCTTAATGGGCAGTCGGAAGATTCAGGGCTTCGCCCTGATACGAGCAGTCTTGTTTTCATTTCGACTCAAAATTTTCCCCATAAATGGCAATAAAAATTATTTGTAGAGTGATTTCTTTGAGCTTGTTTTTCGCCGCTGTACATTATTTTTGTCTTAGATTTTTATACTTGTCAAGCAACATTTTTCGTTTGAATTTGAATTTAATCGTGCAATACAATTTTGTAACGATAAGGACAAGTTTCACGTATAGTTGCAGGAATTCTGAATGCTTTGTATTATGAGTCTCATCGTACTTTTTTAAATTTAAAACATCGCAGGCTCGTTGTTTTTATTGTTCCGACTTTCGATACGAAAGTAACGGAATATATGTGCTCGGGGTGGTTTTTTTCCTTCAGACAAATTTCGACTTTTTTACTAGCTATTTTTGACGGAATTTTTTATATCATTGAAAAGGTATTGTTGTCCTGAGCTCAAAATTGAAAAGATATTTCACCTGTGATCATTTTTTGTAAAGTTATGGGGATTTGGCCAATTTGGGACAATTAACGCGCGACATATTTCGCGCTATTAACGCGTGAGCGGAGAGTTAGACCGTCTTAAAATTGTTCCAAATTGGTTGAAAGACGCCTATTTGTCATAATTGATTTGTTACAAGGAGCGAAATCTATCCTTTTGTACTTTACATGGCATTTGGTGGGATGATTTTCAAAAGAAATTTCAAATTTTAGAAAAAAAAATCATTTATTTCAAATTTTTAAATGTTATTACTGCTCCATAAACGAGCAGTCTTGTTGGTTTTCCTTTGTTCTGATAAATTTGTTTGGCATCTGCTTAACCGTTTTTTTGAACCAGTTTTTGATCCTCCAAGGGTTCAAATGGATAGTCGCGCAACAGTTTGGGCGACTATGGTTATATCGTTGAAACTAACCTCGAAAACATAACCAAAGTCTGAGTAGTCAGGGTTTTCTAAAAGTTTTATCATCATTTTCATTATTAATTTTTTTCACTTCTCAGATCAATCGTCTTGAAATTGCGGGCAGGTAATGTTTGAGCCTGTCTTACTCTACCGTATAATTTATTGGCGCTCTACTTGATGCCATATGTAGTACTTTTGCCTGCACTTAAATTGTCAGACAAAATTATCAGTAAACTGTAGGCGTATGAAAAGAACTTGTAAACATTCCTTGAATAATGATGGCAATCAAAATGCCTTTCAAAACAGTCGTCGCTGGTATAAAAATTCCACATTCCTGGTAAAAAGTTCTACCTTGAGTCGTTTAAATATTTAAAATCAATTATGTAAAAAAGAGATAGAAAATAGTCCTAAATACCAATGATATATCCTAAAGTTTGTAGCAAACAGTTTAAGGTATCACTTTCAGTATCTTCATGTCATGAATGATTGAACGTTTAGTTTTACGATCGATATGGTGCTTACTAAGCGTCCAAAGATTTTGCGTTGTACATACACTAATGTTTTGTTCCATACAATAATGACACTATGCGTTAGACTTGGTTAATATTTACGTTGCATTAAATGATCTAGTTGTCAGATTTTCAAACCAAGCTTGAAGCACACCAATGCTTTATACAAAAACTGAACATTCAGCCATATTTTATATAGAATTAATCAATTTTAGTTGTTTGTTATAAGGGCATCAATAACAGTCGCAATTAGCACCATCAACAAAACTATCTCATACTACCAACAAAGAAGCACGTAACAAATTCACAAGCTCTCCTTCGTCTGGGCTGAAAACAATGTCGCTACTCGACGCGATTGGCGAGCTTACGATTGAAACACAAATCGGAAAAATCACAGGCGAAATTGTTCAAATTGGCGACCAAAAAGTGGCGAGATTTCTCGGAATCCCCTATGCTCAGCAACCAGTAGGAGACCTCAGATTTGAACCTCTGCAAGCCTTAGAAGGAGTTCTAAATGACGAGAACGGAGGTCCGTTTAAAGCAAATAAGAGAGGGAATTCGCCTTTCCAAACTCAAAGAAGCATCTTTGCTACAAAACTACCGATGTCAGAAGAATGCATATATTTGAACATTTTCACTGTAATTAATGAGGAGATCCAAAGCGATCCGGCTAAAATGTGGCTACAAAAATTGCCAGTGTTTTTCCATATACACGGAGGATCTTTCGTCATGGGCAGTGGAAGCGAAACGTATTACGATTTGTCATATTTCGCAGTGACTCATAATGCTATTGGAGTGAGCATAAACTACAGGTTGGTACAGAAGAGATAGTTGGATTACAAATCTAAGAAGGGTGGGTTCTTTCTTTAAAAAATTCAATTCAAATTTTTTGCAACTACTTTTTTCTGTTTTTAGAAAATTCATACTGCGTTTTTCAATGTGCCAAATTGTTAACTATGTTATTATCTGATTTAACATTGTGTTTTGCAAGTTATCGCACAAATGGCGAGCTCATTTGTCTTGCTTTCATTGATCCTACTAATGACTCAGTTCTCGTTCTCGTTCTCTTACAGGCTGAACTACTTTGGCTTCATTAGCATTCCAGGGTGGATTGAGGAGAATTTGGGACTGCTGGACCAACAGTTTGCGCTCAAATGGACCAACGAAAATATCGAGGGTTTTGGAGGGGACCCAAAAAACGTCACCTTATTTGGTTGCTCGGCAGGTAGGATTGTTTCCAAAATTATCTTTTTTGATTGTCGAAAATAAGATGGCTGAAATTTTTTGAAATGCTTATTGTTCCGACTTTCGATACGAAAGTAACGGAATATTTGTGCTCGGGGTGGGTTTTTTTTTCTTCAGACAAATTTCGACTTTTTCACTTTTTGACGGATTTTTTTAATATCATTCGAAAGGTATTGTTGTCTTTGAGCTCAAATTTGAAAAGATATTTCACCTGTGATCGTTTTTCGTAAAGTTACGGGGGTTTAAAGATTGCCATATTGGCCAATTTGGGACAATTAACGCGCGATCTATTTCGCGCTATTAACGCGTAAGCGGAGAGTTAATCCGTCTTGAAAAATCGTTCCAAATTGGTTGAAAGAAGCTTATTTGCCATAATTGATTTGTTAAGGAGCGAACTTTATCCTTTTGTACTTCATATGGCGTGTGGGGGGATGATTTTCATAAAAAATTTCAAAATTTAGAATTTTTTGTTTCATTTTGTATTATTACATTTATTTTCTTAATGTTATTACTGCTCCATAAACATTAAAAGGCAGTCGGAACATTCAGGGCTTCGCCCTGACACGAGCAGTCTTGTTGATATATTTGTCATTAAATACCGCATCTATGACAGTGATTAGAAGTAGTATTTTCGAATTAAATGAAATCTCAGCAAGTCTACTAGAAAAACACCGTCCTAACTTAATAGTATAAGGCTCTTTTGTTCGTTGTCGAATTCCTGAAGAAAAAAAGATTAAAAACTCTGGTCAAAAAATGTTTTGTTGGAGCAAATCAACATTTTTAGGAGGAGCTAGCGTCCATTACCACATGTTATCCAAGGAGAGCAGCAAGTACTTCAAGAGAGCAATCTCCATCAGCGGGGTCATGACTAGGGCATGGAGTCTATGTCCAAGAGCTAAACAGAAGAAAAAGATAGACCAACTTCTTGAAAAATTAGGCTGTCCTAAAAACACAACTCCCGAAGATGTGAAGAAGTTCCTGAAGAAGGTAGATGCTGAAGAAATTATAAAATTTTTCCCAAACGGATTGAGTTTGACCGGGTTGCAGTTTAAGCCTGTTGACGTGTTTGAAAGTGAAAATAAATCACGGGATTTCATTTCCAAGAAACCACTCCTTCTTGGAATCTGTGCGGAGGAAGGCAACTTGTTTCCGGACCTGCTATTCCCAAGATGTGATACTTCTTCGCAAACGAGGTAACAAAAAACAGATATCCCTCCCCCCACACACACACACACAACACACATACACACACACGCACACACGCATCTGTTACAAAGGAGGAATTCGTTACAATGTAAAAAAAATTACATACCCTTAACCGTTGACTTAAACTTTTATAGAAGGGGAGATTCTTTACCGGGGGGATAGTATCACTCTAAGAGCAAATGTTTTTTGAAAAACTTTTCTACGATTTGCGCTACAAATAATCATTGTGCTCAAAATCTTCTGAAAACAGCTCAAAATAGCATTTTGTCTTGATAGTATGGTCTTTATAGTGATTTGGAAGAGCTTGGAAACCATTTGCGCCCATTAAAAAGTGGACAAAATACTCAATTCAAAAAACCATAATGATTTTCTACCCCATTATTAGGAAAAAACGGGATCCGCCACAGTTCGTTTTAGCTCGCGCCAAACCATAGCGAATGCAATGTCAGAAAAAATTTTCTTCGAGCCGCTAAGAAAACTTCTCTCAGAACTAGTCGAAATGCCTCAAAACCCGACGTACGTCTACCTCTTCGACTACAACTGTCAATCAAGAAGCGAAGTTTACCCGGAAGAGTTCATGCGCAGTTACTATGGAAAATTCCACTCGGTGGACGTTCAGTTTGTTCTAGGCTTTATGAGACCAGACATTAAAGCTCTTAAACCTAACGAAACTGACCTTGAAGTAGCGAAATCTATGAACAAAATGATCGGTTCATTCATCAAGTGCTCGGATAGTTGTGACGAAGACTTGCCAATTCAAAGACACGTGAAAAACAACGAATGCGTGAACAGAATCACAGAGACTGGGATTTCAGTGGAATTTAATGACTGCTTGATGCAAGTGAAAAATGTGTCTTTATTAAAAGTTGCAGGTTGTGCTATGCTTCTGAAAGCTTTTCCTAATAAATTTTGATTACCAAGTAAAATAAATGTATGCCAAACTTGTAATTGTCATCGCAACCGTTGAACGTCAACTGAAAACACTTATGAGGTCCACGTGTGTTTTATTTTTTTAAAACAAAAATGTCAAAAAACACGTTCACGCTCAAAGTCTTTTTTGCTATTTGATTTATGTTGATTTATGTGCTTACTCAAATAAACTAACATTTCGAATGAATGGCACAGGTGGTACCAGCAAAAAACCAACTGCGCAAAAAAAATACGACTAGAGTTTCAAAAGGATAGTTTAATTTTTATATTTCTCAACGGAATGAAAGATTACCTAGTAATTCAATTTTCTTGGGCTGGGTTATATTTAAAAAAAAACATTGTCGATCAAAAAAGAGCTGATCGTGATAAATTTTGTAATAAAACCCAAAATAGGAAAGGGTTTCTTCCAAAAAGTCAATTATGTTTTTGCCATTTTTTGCCATTTTTTTTTGCCATTTTCTATTGATCATTGACACGTTTCAATGTTTGTTGGCTATGTTTGTTTTTGATTAGTGCATAATTTTTCCAAGTAACCAGCATGGTCGTTAGAAATCAAACTGGTTACATAGTATGGGAGGTTCAATTTCCTTTAAAAGGAAATCAGTTTTTTTTGGACCAAGTGGGCTGTTGCCTATACGCCCATATAAACGGGTTAACCGAACTTTTAGTCAAGAATTTTCGATGAGTGAAGAGTTTTTTGTCATACGACTGTCTATAATTCCTTACGTGCGTTTACCGCAAATTATAAGAGGTACATAAAAGAAAATTTTTAAATCAATACACGAAAACATTTTTTTGAGCATAGTGGAACCAGTTCAAACCAAGTATTTATTAAATTCAACTAGGTTCTTGATATACTAGATCTTTTAAGATTAGGAAATATAAGAGTAAGACTAGGATTGGTGCTAGGCTAAGAAATTGCACGAACCTATCCGGCTGAAAATAAGATAGCGTGAAGAGCAGACAGTGTACCTATGAGAAAGCCACATGGACTTAACATCACCTGGTGCGACCAAAAGAGTCTCGAACAAATCTCTACTGATTTACATTTATCGAAAACAAAATAGAGTAGGCAAATTAGATCAATAAACGCCCAACACAATGATAAACCAAATTGTTGCTACAATTAGCTTATTTCTAAGTCTCGAAAAGTCTAATCAAATAAAATGGAAGATAATGTTGACACCAGATCACAAACAGAACGACAGACCGAGCCTTTACATCGTGAAATGAAAAAGCAGATTAAAACAAGTATTCTTCTACAAAAATATTTATGTATTTATGCAGTACATTTTCACTCGTTAATATGAGTTGCAATAAATAGAGCATTAAGAGTCTTTCCAAAGCCGTATTTTTTTGCTAAATTGTAGAATTAGTGACTATATAAAAACCCAGATGACTACAAAACTTCCATCGATCTCAAAACTTTCAAATCTGTAGTACTTGCGTGAAAACTTTAGAAGTTTCATTTTTTTTATATAAAAAATACAAAAATTTAGTTATTTAAGCATCTAGGATTAGTTTTATTTGCTTCCTGAGTTCCTGTTTTTGTTCCTTTTCACCTAAAACAAACAAAACTAATTCAGACAACTAGCCTCATTTAAAGTTAAACCCCAATTCTTCTTCAAATTACTAAACCTTTTAACTAAATTTTATCAGGGCCTACCCTTGTTTAACCAAGTGCTAAATTTTTTCATTTAAATCAGATCAACAAGGATATCCTTGGATCTTTAAGTTTCCAACTTTAATCTAAGAATTTACAATTTTTTCATAACTGTTGTTTTATATTCATGTAAGCATCCGATCATCAAGGCTTTCCTTGAATTAGTCAAAAAAAATTCTATCCCCCAATTAAAAAAAAAGATTTTAACGACCTCAAACGTCGATTCATTGTCGAACCCTTACATACGACCTGGTATAAAATGACGATTTTCCAAAGACTAACGCTTTCAATTGAGCGAAACAGTGAAGAATTTCGGTTATTCAACTTCCATTTGAGCCCTACCTCTTAATTGACCCAATCTTAGAACAAATCTTAGAACAATAAAAACTAAAATAGTATCTAACGATCTACTTATGATCTAATTATCCCCAAACCTTACGGATTGGTGTACTATTCTCTAACCCTTGATCTCAAATTAAACCCTAACTAAGTAAGATCAAGTTTTATTTAGATTTAAATAACATTACCCTCGAGAGCAGTACAGAATCATTCTGACGAAATGATAAACTCTCTTCCGTTCCCGTCAATTTACGACAATCTACCCCGAGGATTGAGATAACATCACGAAAATTGAAGAACTAACAGTTTACTAAATAAAAATTGACACCAGTATTTTGCGTCAATCATTCTAACACTTATGCAAGAGATAATTTGAGAAACAATCAAACAAAATTATCCATGAATGGTTAATTAACGTCGCAAGATACGATCTCGTAATTACACCACACAGACAAACAGTAAGAGAAATTAGATCAAAAAAGCAAAAAAAAGAAGACAATATTTTGAAAGCGAATAAAAAACCAAAATTTTCCAGAACACAAAAGGTTTTTTCGGAGTCTGACTCAACAACAAAACAAAACTTCAAAAAACGCATGACCTACTACACGACAAAAACAAACCAGTAGAAAGTCAAAGATATTTTCCCAAATCAGAAGTCATAACAGCATCATAAAAGGCAAACGCGGAATTAAAAAACTAAATATTTGCAAACCAGTAAGATTACACAGTTAGAATCAACGGGGAAGATCTTTTGAAAGTTACCCATTTACAGTAAAATCCCACAAAAAATGATTCAAAACGACAATAATTTGGAGAATGACACTATCCTTCCCTTCATCATCAACCCAAATACTGACCCGTAAAGAGGTCAAGTACAATTTTGTCACAACTTAACCATAAGTTTGTTCTAGAAAAGACACTGTCTGTGTAAACAAGATCTCCCAGAAGTTAAATCAGACGGTATAAATAGGGGAAACTCTCACTGCGTCATAATGGCAATCGAAATTTCACCACCAATTTCATCAAACCAACAATCACAATGAATACAAACAGATGATATTTAAAATCAGAATTAGTTAGATTTTTGAAATTGATTATGGAATATATTAAGAACCAAAACTCACAAAAAACAAACTCACCGTTCACGAATGACCTTTTCTAGTTGTTTCATTTGTAGTTGCATTCCAAGATTAGAAACCAATGAAACATTTTGTTTACTTCTACCACAAACATCTAAACACGCAATAGTAAGACGACAAGTTAACCTCTTTTCACGATTTTTAATTTTCTTCAGTGAAACGCTCATTGGCCTTGAAAGTTTACAAATAATTAAAACTGATCTATAAAGAATCTTTCCATGATTCATTACAGATTACTTCCATAATAATCTAGATCCAACTGCACCAGCAAGAAAAAAATTAAGACCTCCAAACGATAAAGAAACAATGCTATTAAAAGAAACAAATTTTGTATGGGACCCAGAATGGTATCGCAATCTTATTTTCAAAATGCCAAATGATGTCTCAAGTGCAATTATTGCAACCATATCAGTACATCAAGGTTTATTTAAAAGTAACTCCACTAACAACCGATCCATACTTTTAAAGTACAACACAATATTTAATGATAGGTTAATCGAAAACAGTCTAAATTCACCATTCATAAGTTCACCAGAAAAATCAAATGTAACTACGAAATTGACGCAACAAGATATCCAAACATCATCATGTTTTGGAAATGAAGAATCTGTTGAAACAAAACCCACAACAACACAACAAAATTTTTCACCTATACATCCAACAATTATAACACCGCACAACAAAAACAACACTTCGTTCCCACAAACAACCCTAGAGCCAACATTAAAACCATTGGTTGTTCCAAAACACTTACAAACAGACTATCAGACATAATTATACTCAGCAAGTACCTAGAATCCAATATCTCAATATGTAAATTTTACTGATAAGAGAAATTCTCAGACAGACCGCACTGAGAACTATCCATTTCTTAACAGTACAAAAATAACTCGAATCAAAGATAGTTTACTAAAAACCAACAAAACTATTCAGAAGTTGAAGATTACTTTTATCGAAGACAAAAACACTAAAAAACTAATCAACGAAATTACCATTGGAGTGACACAGACCAACCAGATAATGTTTTTCAACCAGGTGATTTTGAACCTCACATAAACTCACAAAAATCAAAAATCACAACAGAAACATTAGAAAAACTCGCCAAGACAAATTTCGTACAGTCAGACAAAAATATGCAATCACAATAACACATGAATACTCAAGGCTACCAACCCGATTCAATGAGATATGAAATTCCACTACTTTATCATTTACAGCAACATGAAATCAGTTAAATCAACTCACAAATTTTACACAAAAACCAAATACAGCAAGATCACTCCAAATGACGGTGAATCTATACCTCATGGATTAATCATCTATAATATGAAATAAACAACTTATAGTTTTCATAGGAACAGACCCTGAATACTAAGTAGAAGATTTTTTAAACGCTGTCACAGCAAAACCTTATATATTGTTTTCCTAATATTAAACATAGGTTCACAACATATAAACACACCACTTCACTGAAATTAGATTCAAAAACGTACAGTATTGATACAAACTACATTCGACGTCGCAGCTCAAAAATTATTTTTATTTCTCAAATGCGATGCAGCTCAAAAATGACTTTCAGTCCTCAAATAGAAATGAAACCAGATTGGAAACAATTTGCATACGAATTTTAAAATTGTTTGAAAGAAGTGAGGGATAAATGTTGTATTTTGATTCGTATTGTGGTTCACTAAGGCGTGCTTAGTGAATGGCTGGTATTAAAGGTTTGGATAATGATGCTTGTCTTTTTTCGAATGTAAAGGCTTTTTATTGAAATGATGTACGTGTAGATGATTGAGTTTGACTTGTTTGACTAAATGTTTGTGTTGTTGGGGAGTCTTGAGATGTAGTGGTTAGTGGGGAT